AACTTGCAGCTTGTGCACCAGCTTTGGGAGCAACAGGGATTTCTGGGTGTCCGTCTGACACCGAGCATAGTCTCACTGCTGGGGCCGCCAGGCAGCCTCATGGCCTGCACCTGGCACAGAGATCTACCTCTTTTACACATTCAAAAAGCAGAGGTTGGGGAAGGAAGAGACATGAGCCAGGAAACCCATACAATGGATGCAGCTTCACTGATTTTTTTTCTTTTTTTTTAAACTCACCCAGGATGCCTCACCAACATCACAGAGCTCCACCCAAGCAGCCATGCTGCACATTACATATTAAAAAAAGGCCCTGAAGCCTTCAGAGGCTCAAATTCCCAAACTAAGGACTAAGCAGCGAAAAGGCAAGGAGCTGTAGAACATACCTTTGGAGGGGGGAGGTCTGGCAGGCTCTTCTGCGGAGGGGACGAGTGCACTCCGAGGTCTCCATTGCTCAAGGAGTCTCTCCGATCCAGTGCTGCAAGGCAGAAACAGTTTTAACAGTGACATGTGGCATTTCCCAGCAAAGCACTGGCTGCCCTGCGCTGCGCAGGTGCTATTTAAGTCGGAAGCAGGGTGCTAATTACAGACGGGCAGCAGAGCAACCGTGTCATTTCGGGCTGCATCCAGAAACGTTGCACTAGAAGATCCAACAAAAGAACCAGCCTCTATTTTTTAGGCATATTTCTCTTCTGGAAGGAAAACTGTGAAGCCCAGAATGGCTTAGAGAGGGTGACTGCCCCCTCTCCTCCCTCAAAAATACCATGAGTGACAATGACATGGACTGATGTTGGGCACTTCTAAATCCTCCCTCTAATTTCTGCTGCTTACTGCTCTGCAAAACAAGTTCTCAAGAGCAGCCAACAACTGTAATTGAATAGCTAGTGAACCTGCTAGCTGAAGATGAGATGCTCTTAAAGCAGCACAGGCCAAACATCTGAAAGGTGGATGGCTGCAGGAGTGCTCCACGCTCTCCAAGCCTTGCTCTGGACAATCAGATTTTCCAAGCAGCTGAATGCAGAAGGGTTAGTCTAAGGCACAGAAAACTTGTGCTCAGCCCCTTCCACCATCAGAAAATTCCTGGGTGGCCTCAGACAAGTTCCCAAATCCCATGACCTTAGAGACAGTGCAATACAACAATACTTGGGAACAAGGTGGAGTGAGGCATCAAACGAAAAATAGGACTTTGAAAGCATTACCCTGTGCAGTAGATAAGTCCTCTTTCACAGACAGTGTTTCTTAGTTCCATTTCCTCTAAAATATTTGCCAAGATATTCAGGTATCTCCAATGCAGTAAGTTAAGCATGGGAATTACGTCCACAGCGCACACGGAGCGGATGCTCCCCAGCTCCCTGGGCACCTCCTGGGGCCTCGGCCACGTTCCTCGCGCGCGCCGCGGCCGCCGTGGCACCCGGGGCCCCCCAGCAGCTACCATTGCGTTGGAAGGCGCTGGCATCGGCTTTGTTGCGTATTTCTGGGCTTTAAAAATAGAAGGTGGAAACCACACCACTCTGTTCAAATGTGGGACTTGTTGTAAGCCACAATGAGAGCTCTGCCCTTCTGTCCTGCCGCGAGCTCCTGGCTGATGGTACGCAGGGCTCTGGCTCGTGACAGATGGCTCCCCGTGATGGAGGCCTCCTGCTCTGCCAGGGCTGGCTAATTTTGGCAAATCTGGAGCCCACGGAGACCCATGGATCAGCTGAACATAGTTGTTTGCACCCCACAAGCTGGGCTGGCTGGGTATCTTGTAAAGCTCGAACTGATATTAGAGCAGGGGAATATAGGACACAGACTGGTCATCAGCCCTAATAAACAGGGTTTCTTTGCATGATGAGGAGGTGCACCTACCAAAATAGCCTACACAGATGGAGCTGTAACTACCGGCTGCTGTCGGAGGTTGTTGGCCTTCCCTGTAAGGGACCAGGAGGGAGATGCTCTCAGGGCGGACATCTCCCATCTATAACAGATGAGGCCATTGCTGCTTTCAGAAAGATCAGAAACAAGGCTCAGGTTTCCTAACGCCCCAGTGAGCTGTTCCCCAGGAAAGGATCATCCCCACACTCACAGTTGTGAACCCAGGGTGCTTTCAAAGGGCCTCTCTAGCTGAGAGAAACAGGCCACGGTGCCTCCGTCTGCACCAGGCAAAGCCTCCCACACTCAGCTCTGCAGAGGTCCAACCACTGCTGCCCTTCCAAGTGGTGGCCCTCTGCTCATCACTCCTCGATACGCCCAGGAATCATCTTGTTGAACCTCACTGCAGCAGCAAACGGCTCTTTGCTCTCGGTACCAACAGTTCCTGCTCCTCCCACAACCTTCCTAGCTCAGGACCAAGACCACAGCTTCAACTGTCACCGTGCTGGAAACCATCTCACCTCCACAGACCAATGCCCAGCGCTCCAGCCGAGGAGCGGAGCACGAGGTGAAGGAGCTCTGGTGGTTGGGCTTTGTGTGGCAAGAACCCTGCCTTTAGCCTGCTTCCTAACACGACCCTGAGATGTGACAGATGGGAGATGTTTCTGTTGTGAGGTTAGAGGGCAGCTGCCATGCTGCCCAGCACCCAACCCCAGGCACAAAGCTCCTAATGCTTGTTCTTGGTAGGAAGGGTCTACAGAATGTGTGTTGTGCACACAGCACAACACCTTCACAAAAACTGCTTTTTCCTTGACAAGCATTAACAGTTTCCAAGTATTTTCTGACAAAAAAGTCTCCCTAAACCCTGGAATTTGGAGAGTGTTTAGAAGAAGGAAGGAAGGAGAGAAAAAAAAAGGTTGCCAAAATTCACATCTGTGCTAATTCTGTTGTTCATCTGTGCTCTCTGCTCTGTGTCAAAGCGAATTGTTCCCTGCATCTGAGCTGGAAGGACCACAGTGTGTGTCACCAGGAGCCTTGCACCACACAAACCAGCCCGTCTCCCAGGCCCTGGGACTTCTGGGGACTTCTGGTGACTCTGCGGTGACTTCCAGAGGGCAGCGGCCTCTGCTTCCCAGAGGAAAACCAAGGACTTGCAGCGTAGAGACGTGCTGTATTTCTCATGCAAGTGCCTTCATCACTCACTGCAATGCAATGAGTTATGAGTTTTACTGTGCCGTAAAGAGGCACCTCAAAAGAGCTGAATGCTCCGCGTGTGTCCTTACTGATAGACTCAAAATTAGCCACAGAGAGCAGTTATTTTTTTTCAGTAATAGCTTTTTTTTTTTTTATGGTGTTTGGAGAACTTTTGGAGCTAGTGCATTATTATTTCTGGAAGGAATTCATCCTGTGTTGCTAGAGCAAATATACAGCAGTGAAGAAGCCCTGCAGGGAATGAGATGTCCAGTTGACCTCAGCCACAGGAGTATCACCATGAGAACTCACCATAAGATTTAGGTGAAGCAACGTGCACAGAGCTGCGGTGGTTATAGGGAGAAGGGCTGTTAAGTCAGGGGGGAATCCACATCACTTCCCAGAGCAGCTCTGTGTATTATGGCTCTCTCCATCTGCTAAAACTGAGCGTGCAGATCCCACTGCTGACCAGGCACAGAGAGACCTCTCCATCCAGCTACAGGGAGGCTCAGGGCTGCACGCCCAGCTGTAACTACAGCTGAGATCCCATGCATGTGTGCGACTGACTTCAGCGTTCCCAGTTAACTCAGAAGTTTTACTTGGACTAGGGAGGTTGCTGCAAGCAGAGAGAGAGAGAAGCAACAGGGCCCTCAGGGAGCGTCCGAGTGGGGAGGTTCCTGGCCTTGCAGCAAAAAGCCCGAAATAAGAGAAGCAACTCTAAAAATAAAGTTGTCTGAAACTTCTTGTTCAGCATGCAAGCCTTGTTTCATCCACACAACCTATAAAGAAGTGTATCTATTGCTGTGCAGCTACAGGAGCTGCCGGCGGGCTCTGCAATCCTGTCACGGGGCATTACCTAGAGGGCCCTGCCTAGAGGTCACGCTGGAGCCGCAGGTGCAGACTGGGAGGAGATCCTGTTTCCCGGAGTGTTTGAAGTTAACCCAAATTCAGATGTAGGCTTTTATTTTTTTAACGAGCAAACAAAACCACCACCAACAAAAATGAACAAAAACAACTCTGAAAATGGAACAGCTCTGACTATTGCACGACCAGTGCATCAACTGCAGGCTGCACATTTTCTTATTTGGTCTCTTTAGACTGGCAGCGTTGGGCTAGGGTCCACCTCTGGCTAGGTGTGCATGGAAGACTGTGTAGAACCAGATTATTAGTGGCACACTTATCAAAAAAGAAAACATTTGCAATGAATATCTAAAAGAAAGGGCATTTTTGAAGAGTTATGATATTCTTCACCATGCTACAGATGCAAAACCTGGGAATATACATTGGAAATGAGTATTTTATCCAGGTTTAATTTCTTGGCTTGTGCACTGCAGAATTCCAGCATCCCTCAGGAGATAGCAAGGGATGCTGGGCTGTTGTGCCCTGGGAATTCGCCGTGCGAGGTCATGACAGCTCAGAGCCTCTGGGCTAGTCACTCAGACAGTTTCAAAGTCTCCAAGAGGTGAGGCAACTTATTTCATGGCCAAAAGCAACACCAGGGCTTCCTTAAATATTTCAGGCACTGGAGCTTCAAAGCCTAAGAAGGCAACATTTTTATCCCAAAATAGCACCCTCCAAAGGGCTACTTCCAGGAATAATCTCACAGTATTGGCACGGACCAGGATTTTCAGAGAGATGCAATAAAAATGGCAGTCCTTCCCATGGTCTGTCCATGCCCCAGGCTCCAGAGGTGTAGGAAAGGCCTGCACCAATCCCACTAAACGACAGATTTATCCACACATGCCTTTACTGCACCATTAGATAGGAGGCAACCATTATTCTTCAGCTTCTTACCTTTGTCTTGTTTCTCTTGGTCACCCTGCTGCTTATGGACGGTCACTTTGTTCATGTAAATGTATTCCTCATCACCACCTGAAACCAAAGGGAAAAATCAAGCTCTTTAACTACTCCCTGCTTTTGTGTTGCTGTGTTTTTCCATGAACTCAGATGCAAAAAGTGTCAGCTGTGTGCATCTGCAAGGACATATGTAGGCTGAGGCTACATGCAAAAAATCCCCAAGCAGTAATAACAAGCTAAAAAATTAAATGCTCTACAGCCAGGAAATTCCATAAGTTAAAATTTCTACTTAAATATTAACTTGGCCAAACAGTACATCCTGTGTATCTTACAGAGTGGATTAAATAAACTTAAGGTTTAACAAGAAAAACAGAAAGGATCAGGAATCTTGGGAATCTTTGCTTGTAAAGCTGGACACATAGTCACAGTAATTTTACATAAACAATTAGAGGTCACTGCAAAAATAATCTCCATTTCATTTTCTCCTGCTAGTTTTCTTGTCTCCCCTCCCTCTCACCCTCCAAGAAAACACTGCTTCAAGACCCCTCAGCAGTTCTCACGAGAGCCCGTCACTCCGTTCCCGGTGTTCCCTCCACGTACCGCTGGACTTGGTGTACACCCGCAGGAGGTCAGAGAGGAAACTCTTCTTCACGACAGCCGTGCTGCTCAAGTTCTCCTTGTCCAGGATCCTCAGAAAATCTTCAAGTTCTGTGAGCAGCTGCTCGAGAGCTAGGACAGCAGCAGAGACAAATGTTGGCAAAGCAGCTCGGTGAGGACGTATCTTGATTCTCTATTTTCCAGGATCCTCTGGATTTTTCTGCCCCCCAATAATTCATATTTAATTTTCCAACCTGACTTGTCCCTCTTGTTTTGAGAAGAAATTGAGACCTAAAACCCTAATGGTTGCAACTTCCTCTAGTTTATTCAGACAGCACAATAATATCGTGCATATAAGAGTCTTCCTATAGGATTTTTTGCCCAAGGAAAGTATGGAGAGGTTTTGAGCATTAAGGCTGAGACTCCACGGAAGCAGCTGGCAAGATCTTGACTTTGGAATCTGAGTCATGCTTGAGCCTTCATGCTTGATTCATAGACTCATAGAATGCTTAAGGTTGGAAGGGACCTCCAGAGGTTGGTAGATCCTAGTCCAACCTCCCAGGCCACATCTGGACTAGGATCTACCAAAAGCCCTGTTTTATGACTCCTCTTTTCAGGCCTTCTTCCTATTTTTCTCAGATTGCAATGATTCAGAAACACTTGTGCACACACCCATCAAAAAAGCACTAAAACCATTCATAATTCAGTACTTTCTGAGGTTATCTTGCTTGAGTGGTGATTATGGTGATCCTTGTGCCCAGTGAAACTGAAGCTGATCCCCAAAGTGATCCGTGAGGCGAGACAGCTTTCAGGAAAGCTGCTACACCAAAGACTTCCCTCATACCTGCAAAGAGCTGCTCAGACACACAGCTGCCCTATAGGGAAGGCTAAGTCCAGCTAATAGGTTTATTTTCATTCTGAGGAGGTTCTACTCAGCTCTGCCATTGATAAACCACTTCCCAGACAGGGCTCGCACTGAAGGAACAGGCATTTAATTGCTCGCTTTTGTTCACTCCCAAGTTTGTCATGGGCTAATTAAGCAGCCGTGGCAGGATATCATTCCAGAGGGGAAATAACAGAGCATTATGTGCAGAAAGGAAGTGTGGCGTAAGAAGGCGAGCGTGTGGGAAAAGCACGGAGAACGCCAGCTCTGGCCATTCCTCTCTTGGACTCTCCCTGGTTTGCTACTTAATCGCTTCCTAATGCTACCAAACTGCACAAGAGAGGCAGCAAGATTCTGTTTTCACAGCCAGGCTACAAAATAGGCTGCAACTTGTTATCCTACCATCAAGAAACGGGTGGCTGTGAAATACAGCTAATTTAAACAGGGCAGTACTCCATTGCCTTTAGCTTCAGCATTTCCATACTGTTTGTTACCACGGCTTCTACAAGACCCTCATAAGATACCAGTGCCTCATTTTATACCCTCTGTGCCCAGTCAATTCTCTTTAGGTCTGAATAAGGACCAGCGGAGAATGGAAAATGCCTGTATCATGGCGTGTAAGACTGAATGTTCTTGTTACGTGTGTTATACCTACTTCTAACCCATTGCTACGTAGAGGAAGTAAGAAACACGGAGAATGGAAAATGCCTGTATCATGGTGCATAAGTCTGAATGTTCTTGTTAGCTGTGTTATACCTACTTCTAACCCATTACTACCTAGATGAAGTAAGAATAGTTTCAAGAAAAAGCAACAGCATTTTTCTCAAGCTGTAAGGAAGGTAGTACTTGGTGGCAATAAGATCAGATGTCACTAAGTACCATTAAATAATGAATTGTAAGCAATTATGCCTAACACTTGCTGCCTGTTTCTCCCAAGCTTCAAGGAGCCTGCTTTTTCTAATCATAAGGAGAGAAACTCCCACTAGGATAAATCACAGCCTTCTTACACTCACTCATTCCTATTAGTTCCTACTAGCGGACAGGACACCAACTTGTCAGAGACAACATCAGAAGCAGCAGCACAAGAAACACCAAATTTAACTGAAAGCTTCAGCAGGGGGTCCGTTCCCAACAGCTGTCTGCATGGAAGTCACGCTATTGAGTTTCTGGGGAAGGGGGAAAAAATTCCCTCTCCCACCCCCACTACTGCACAAAATGCCTTCATTCTTCTCCCAAGCATCCACAACCAGCACACACATGGAACCAAGCTCTTCTGAATAACACAGCCCATACAGTAGGTTACATTTTCCAGCCCACCAGAGCTGAATTCAGGCTTCCAGCGACTCAAAGCAACTCATTTAGGACGTGATCCTGGGGCCATAAAGGTCAGTGGAAAGACTGTCAGACTTCAATGGATTCAGACTTCAGGGACTGAAGAGAGTCATTTTGGTCTTCTTCAGCAAGAAGCAGGACATAAACGATCCGCTTCCACGCAAATTCCCCTTTGATCTCAGCTGCACATCCCCTTTCCAAACCTGATACCTGCAAAAACAAACTGCCGTTGAAATGAATGTGACTATTCATTCTCTCGTATCAGGAGGAGACACACTAATCCTCGTCCGACAGTGACAAATGCAAAGAGGAAGAGGGATGAATACGGAGGAGTCTAAAAGATTTTTTTGTGCAAGCAAAAACCACAGCGGGGTCCCAGCAGGGCAACAGGACTAAAAACCATCCAGAACTCATGTACATTAAAGCACCTCAGGATTCTGAGTGCTGGCCTGGTATCACCTAGGAATCTCTCATGCTATCCTCTGGCGACAGTATATTGAACACACTAATAGCAAAATGAGGCTGGTGGTTATTCAAAGCAGCCCGAAATGGATGGCTCTCCCTCAAAGCTGTATTGTTTTGCCCTTCTTAGTAATTCAGGAATATTATCAGGTGAAGGGATGACTCGTGGCTAGGTTTGTTTGCCAGTCCTCAGGGCAACACTTTGATGCAAAATCAAATGAGCGTGAGCAGCAGAATGAAGATGAGAGATTAGAAGACAACACACATCAGTGCCCTTCGCAGAAGGCTTTGGGAAAACCTTCTTCCACAACTATGCAGCTCTCTAAGTCTCATAGCATTTTTTTAGGAACCTCCAAGTAGAATGTGACTGAACTGATCATTTTGATGCTCCCGCAAGCAACATCATAGCACTTTATTCATCAAAACCAGGAAATCATCTATTATCTTGCACATAGATTTAGCCAAATCTCTACTGCAGCCAGCCCTCTCAAGTCCTAGCTCTTGGCTTTCTGCTCTATCTCCCTACAAAGCAAGGTGCACAGGTAGGTGGTGGTATTACATAGCACAACACGGCTCATATCACTCTGCTTCCCTATGACCACAAATACCAGTCAGTGCATAAAACCGTGAGGATTTTCCAACACGTGGTGGAGAGAGATGCAGGAACAGCATGATCAATACACAAAACTTGGATGATTTGCACATGCAACGAGCAGATGATCACACTGAAGAGAGCAAACTTCAAAATACGTAGAAATCATGCGATGAGGTAGGAAGGAAGCTTATGGGGTTTACAAATAGAACTACCAGTTCCTTCTATGATTCCATGATTCCTTCACTGCATTTAAACAGAGAGTGAGCAACTACATCAGCAAAATACTCTACTGCCTTTTACTCCGCTGCGACACAGCCCCCTTACAGAACCTCCTAGGAAGCAGCCTCACAACAGAAGATGCTCTGTATGAAGGGTGCAACTTTGGCTGAGGCAATAAGCAATGAATTGCTTGAGAGCTGAGTTGTTTCAATGGCAATTCAGTGGCAGGACGACAGTGAAAAGGGCTTCTCTTGGCACCAGTCTACAGCCCCTCTTTCCAGACAGAAAGTCTCTTGCATTACAGCAGCAGCTAACCCAGCTCATGTGAAGCTAGAGCCAAAACATTTAGCAGCTTGCAAAGCCCCCATTGAGGGAGCACATTCCTTATAAAAGAGCTGCCAATTTTGCCTGACACCAAGGTCACTGAAAGGTAAATGACCATTAAACTAGATTATAAAAGCCATTCCTTCCAATAACCACTGGATCTTTGTCATTCGCCTACAATAACAACCTATGTCTACATCTAATTACTTCATGTCTTGGCCTTATGAGGAAATGGAAAGCCAGGCTCTCAATGAACTTTCAGTCAAGTGTTTTAGCAACCACTGGGCAGGATTATATTAGACCATTTAATTTACATTAATTATTTATTTTATCAAGGTAGAGGGGCCCCCAGCCACTGAACAAAAAACTGTAATAAGATACATACCAAAAGACAAACTTTCCTGTACTGAGATGAGAGGTAGAAGATAAGGAGTATCATTTACTAGCAGGAAACTAGCAAGAAACCACAGTGCAGATAGATTAAGCTGTTTGTCCAGGGGTGTGTGTGTTATTCCCCATCAGATCAGGAATGCAACCTAGTTTTCCTGTGTCCCAGGCTTCAGCCTTCACTTCCCTATCATCCTTCCTCAAATTCTGGAGCACTGGGAGATTTCCCACACTCCAGTCAAAAGCAGAGGTTGGATTTAGGATATTGCTTCACATCTGCTACAGGAGATTGAGTTAAACTGTCAGGAGGCAGCACAGACTCCAGCACGTGTCTCTGTTGGAGGGAGACTGTAAATACCTGCAGTGCTGCAGCCAAAGCCTTGGAGAGCCCAGAGCCAGGGGAAGTGGCAACCATGCCTGGCTGTGATGGGTACGAGGATGCAGGGGCATCGTGCAGCCCCCTTCCCTTGGAGGAACCTCCTCTGCAGAGAGGAGCCTTCCCAGGACATCCCTTCCTGCTCGGCCTCCCCTCCTGCACAGCCGGGCTGGCAGCACTGGCACTGCCCAGGGGCCGCTTTGGCAGAAAGCTGTTACTTTTTGGCCCTGGTTTCTTTCTTCTCCCCTGCACAAAATCAATAGGGCAGCTGAGGAGCGCGCCGCGGCACAGAGAAGCTTTCACGCTGCTCAATAGCTGGTGTTGTGAGCGGCGCAGGAGGGCCGGTCCAGGCCTCCTAGGCTAATTTAGAGCTTTGCAAAGGCCAACTGTTGCTGGAAGAGAGAAAAAGTCATCTATGATGACAGCTAAAACAGCCTATTCTCCCTAGCTGTGAGGAAAGCCAGATGTGTCGACAGGGACAGCTGTAACAGCTGGATGACCCTCACACGAGGCTGCCTTCCAAACCAACAACGCGGATATTTCTTCAACCGGAC